GCGATTTTGCGCCATCATACGCTTCCCCGTCGCCCACACTCTCGCGAAGAAAGATTCCGTCTCTCCTGTCTATCCTAAAGCTATCCTAAAAGCGATTTCGACTGTCAAAATTAGATATTTTCTTTGGATATCAGCTCACAGAGAAAAAAGAAAAATTTATTTTGAAGACAAATATTTTTTTCAAGACAAATATATAAGTAGAAATGTTATAATCTTACAAATCTTAATCTTGATTTGATTGAATTTATATTGATGCGAGTATTAATTTTCTTTTCCTTTAACTTGTATATAAAAATATCTATACTTGTATCAATATAAATTCAATCGAGTCAAAACTAAAATTTTTCTAAGAAAATTATAATATTCTTGCTTATATATGAGAACATATAGTTTTAATTTAAGATTGATTTTTTTCTATGTAATTAAATTCTATGTAATACATTTGCATACACAGAAAAAAATTAGTCCGAAATTAAAAATATTATAATATTACAAATTTTAATCTTGATTTGATTGAATTTATATTGACACGCGTATTAGTTTTCTTTTTAACTTAAAATTAAAAATTTTCTAAGAAGATTATAATATTCTTGCTTATATATGAGAATATATAGTTTTAATTTAAAATTGATTTTTTTCTATGTACGTATGCATACACAGAAAAAAATTAGTTCGAAATTAAGAATACTATTCTCATAAAAGATATAATCTTCTTAAAAAAATTTTAGTCTCGACTTGATTCAATTTATATTGATGCAAGTATTATTTTTAACTCAAGACTGAAAATAAATTCTATATAAAGATTATATTCTTGCTTATATTCATATATATTCATATATGAATATTTTCATCTATCACTTTCAATACAAATTCAATCAAATCAAGAGTAAAATTTTACTAAGAAGATTATAATATTCTTGCTTGTATAAAAATATGTATCTTGATTTAAAACTAATTTTTTTTTCTGTGCGGACATGTTTTTGCTAGACTGAGAAATATAAAAAGAGTGTATACATAAAGTGAGATGTCTAATAATAAGTAAGGAAATACAAGAAATATATATTTCCATAAAAATGTACGCGCGTTTTACTTCGATTCTTGTTAACAAACTTATTATTTAAATTTGTAATAAATTTAACTTATTATAAATTTAAATAACTTATTACAAATCTGTTATTTTTAACGAATAAAGTAAAAGAGATTTAACATTTGACATATCATTCTTTTGATTTGAAGATACTCGACCACGGAACGTGATGAATGGTTACAAGTGAAAGCGTAACACGGTCTAGAGCGTTCGTATTTTCGGATTTGCTGAACAATCTTTATCGTAACTCCAGTAGTAGATCAAGGAATCCGGAATAAGACACTCAGCAGAGAGAGTGATTTACGATTTGACGAGAGCCGCGCGTCTGTCGTCTCGGCGACAGGTCGAGGCTTCGGGGATGACGAAACGGCGAACGCACTTTGCTCATCGTCCTCGTGGCAGGTTGACGCCTAGAAGACGATGCCTCGCGAATAGTCGAAGCATAATGATTTGGAACGTCGGACTGTTATAGAACAGCCTAGGCACGTTGTCAAAAACATAGTGCTCTACGTCCATCCCTCCGCGTGATTCGATCTTCCACCTACCGATTTCGTGCCTCTGAATCTGATCCGATTACCGAGAAGAGACCTCTGTCTGAGAGGAGGCTGCACTGGGAATAACAGATGCATGTACCGATGGCTTAACTGGTTATCGCGTCTCGAGGTGCGAGAGCAAAGTTCCTCGAACCGGTACAGAATCCGGACTTTGCGACCCACTCTAATAGTGACGAATCGTCGCGTTATTATGACGGTGTTTTTTCCCTCAAAATAAAAAATGTTTCATTAAGTGATGTCATGAATTATTATCCAAGCATTGGATAAATATAGTTAGTAATGGTATGCTATTATGGTAAGGAATTATAGGCGTGAAATAAACCAATACATTCACACGCGATACATTCGTATATTTATAGAAAATGATAAATTATCGAGTTAAATGTCGATAAACTTTGATAAATACGATAAATTTGTAAATAAAAAGTCGTTGGTAAACCGCGAGCTACCATATTTATTATTGCTGAATTGTATACATGTAAAATGAGATAAATATTATTATTCGAAAATATTAATGACATAAAAAAATAGTATGAATAATAAAATATTGAAACGCGTGAAGCGGTTTTAAGACATCCCAATGTACGTAGGTTTGGAACGTTTTTTTTTTTTAAAGCCTTGTAACTTGATCTTTAATCTCTGGACATGTGGTAAGGCAACTACAAAAAATATGTTGTGACAACCTTTGGTAATACCTACTAAACACATTGAAAGTTTCAGATTCTTTATGGTTTTTCTTCACTTTTTTAGAAGATATATAAATGATTAGTTAGGGAAATGTGATATGATTTCTGACATAAAGGGCCCTACCCTCTATTTTTTAAGGGAATCAATATAAGAAGAGCTGTGTGAAAATGAGCCTGCCACTTACAGAATTCTATTATAAATCAATTTATTTTTCATGTCAATTAAAATTTTAACTACCAAATGTGTGTGTG